GCTGCAGCTTCCACAGGAGAGGACCCCATAAGGTTCCCCAGCTTCCACAGCATGGGCCCCAGCAGCCTGCTCCACAGAGGACACTGGCTGCTTTCCCATCAGGTAGCCCATAGCCATCACTGTGGTGGTGCCCTGGGGCGAGGGCTGCCAGCACCTTCCAAACCTGAGCACACCTGACTCCAGAGCCACAGTAGCTCCGCTGACTCCTGCACTCCAAACCTCGGCTCCAAGGCCGCTCTGCATTCATCCATGCTCCAGACTCCAGCCTCGTGGCTGCTCCACACATGCCCACACCTCACAAACCAGAGCCAACACCATTGCAGAATAGCCCGCGTCGTGGGCCCAAATGCTGCCGCTGCTCCGTGCATGCCCATGCGTCAGACTCTGTCTTCATAGCCACTTGGTACATACCGCATTTCACATGCCATCACTGCAGGGTAACCTGTACACCAGCTCCTAGAGCCGCTGTCACACTGCAGGCACTGGCACTCTGTCCCCGGCTCCACCACTGCTCCACGGGTGTCTGCAAGCTGGACCTGGCACCAAGAGGAATCTCCTCCCCAGCTGCATATCACATACCCCATTGGGAGGAAAAGAGACCAGGCGGTCCAACCAACCTTCACTGCTGCTGCAGACAACTGCAGCCTGGGCCATTGAGAACCCCTGAAATCTCCCAACATTAACTTCAGCTGATGGAGATGCATGGAGACTACCCTGCTGGCAGTTTTGAGTTTCCTCAAAAATTTAAAAGTAGAACTGCCATGTGATTTAGCAATCCCACTTATAGGTAACATATCCGGAGGAAGTGAAATCAATAAATTAGTACCTGGAAGAGATGTCTGCATTCAGAGTTCATTGCAGCACTATTCACTACAGCCAAGATATGAAAACAACCTAAGTGTCCATCAACAGATGAATGGATAAAGAACATGTGGTGTACTTATGACCCAGCAATTCTACTTCTGGTATTCCAAAAAACCCAAAACACTCATTCAAAAGAACTCCTAATTGGTAGTCACAAAATAGTCATGTGATATAAAGTCTAGCATAGGAAATATAGTCAATAATATTGTAATAACTGTGTATTGTGCCAGGTGGGTACTGGAAATATCAAGGGGAAGACTTTGTAAAATATATCATTGTCTAACCACTATGCTGTACACCTGAAACTAATACAAAATAATTCTGAATATAAACTGCAATTGAAAAATAAAATTTAAATAAAATTACAATTGTGGCCCTAGCTGGTTTGGCTCCATGGATAGAGTGTCGTCCTGCAGACCAAAGGACCGGGTTCGATTTCGGTCAAGGGTACGTACCTTGGTTGCAGGCTCCTCCCTGGCCCAGGCCCTGTGTAGAAGGCAACCAATCGATGTGTTTCTCTCACATCGATGTTTCTCTCTGTCTTTCCCTCTCTCTTCCACTCTCCCTAAAAATCAATGGAAAAATATCCTCGAGTGAGGATTAACAAAAACAAAACAAAAATAAACAAAAACTGCATTTGTGGTAGACAACCTCTGGGGAAAAAAAAGAAATGTGTAATATACAGTATATACATAATAAAATATTATTCAGTTATAACAAGAAGAAAGTCTTATCATTTGCAACAACATGGATGAACCAGAAGGGCATTATGCTAAATGAAATACACCAAAGAGAGTAAGTCAAATACTCTCTGATCTCACTTATATGTGGAATCTTAAAAAAAACAAGAGCAAAACAACACAAAAAAAACCTCATAGAAACTGAGAATAGAATGATAGTAGCCCAAGGTTGGGGGTGGGGGAAATGTTAGTCAAACGATACACACTTTTAGTTATAGGATGAATAAATTCTGAGGATCTAATACACAGTATGACTATAGTGACTATAGTTAATAATTCTGTATGTATACTTGAACTTTGCTAAATTAGTAGATGTTAAACAGTCTCGCCCCAAAAAAAGAAATAAGAAACAAGGTAACTATGAGGTGATAGTGTGTTAATTAACTTGATTATGGTAATCAGCACAAAATGTATATGTATATCAATTCATCATGTTGCATACTTTAAATATACACAATTGTATTTGTCAATTATACCTCAATTATTTTTAAAAAGATTAGATAAAGTTAGCTGATGTAGCCCTAACTGGTTTGGCTCAGTGGATAGAGCATCGGCCTGCAGACTGAAAGGTCCCAGGTTCGATTCCGGTCAAGGGCATGTACCTTGGTTGCGGGCACAGCCCCAGTGGGGAGTGTGCAGGAGGCAGCTGATCGATGTTTCTCTCTCATCGATGTTTCTATATATATAAAGTTTTAAATGCTCTTTGGTGTTAATTCAATATTTTTGATACCATGTAAAATAACAAAATTTTTTTTACTTTAGTTTCTTTCTGTCTAGTCACAGTGATCTGATAACTTTGTAGCACACAGTTTATTTTACATTTATATCAGTAAAATAAAACAATGAAATTTTATTTGCTAAGAGGAGATAACATCTTGAGCTTTTCTACTGTTTTCCAAAAGTAACTAGTATTATTACCTAAGTAACTATAGTTCCAAATGGTTTTCTGCTTAAAACATTTAAATCCCTAGGACAAAATTAGGCCTAGTGGAGATAAACATATCCATTAATTTTTCTTTGGAATTCTCGATAGATACATTATACATTCTCCCTAGTGAGCCGCCATTTCAAGCAAACATAAATCACTATCGTACCTCTAAATGGTGGAGTCCTAGCCCTGAATATGTTAATAAGTGAGTTACATAAAACAGTTTTCAACATTACTATAAAATTGTCTATGGAATTCTCATAATTACTTTTACTAAAAGTAGTAGTATGATTTAAACATATTCAATTTCACAAATCAAACATTTATAAGGAAGAGTCAAGCACTGGTAAAACCTCCAAACAACAACAACAAAATAAACCTAAATATTAGAGATGACAGCCATCTCCTTTGGCTAAGTCACTCTGTGGCCCTAATAATTCAAAATTACTTGTAGACTTTTAAATAAAGTAAAAGTTAGTTTGAGACTTCAATAACAATTCAAATCCATTCTATACTGCCCAAAGGGACATATTTCTAACCTCCACTACATAACCAATATAAAATGACATGAGATATCAACCCGTTAAAATACTGTCCTATTAAATCCTGAGATCATTTCTAGTGCTGGTCTGACCATTTCGAGACAAGTTTACAAAGAAAATTTTATGTTCAAATCTCAGGCATCAAAAAAAGCACTAAAAGTTCTTATTGAAGCAAAGGTCTCTGCAGAGGATCAAAAAATATCTGGGCCAATTCAGAGTAACAAGTCAGACAGCCAAATGTAGCCAGTGCAAAGACAGAGTGGCTAACTGCCCAGATGTACTTCACTCCTCAAATACTTACAAATGTGCACTGCTGCTGCAACTCCTGCCACTTGATGCAAAAGTTACAAATCCAATGCAGATACAATAATAAAAATGTGAGCACCAAGAGCCACTGGGCATTGTCTTTGTGATGAGGTAGGGCTTTATAAATATAAACACAGGAGCCAATGTAAATATCTGTAATCACTTTCCTAACCATATTAATAGACATTTTCCTCTAGTAATTTCATTGACATTAATGATATCTGTATATATTTTTACACAAAGCTTTCTACATTTGCACAACTTCTAAAATATTTTAACTCCTCAAATATATGTGGGAATCATTCCAGATCACAAGATGCCGAGGAATTGCAGGATTTATCAAACTGATGTATCAACACATATGAATATAAAACTGTGCCATTTTGTTTTTATTCAACAAGCATGTCATAAACAAATTATTCTGGTTTATGATGTCAGGTAGATGAAGGCAATTAAAGTAAGTCTAACTGTTAAAAAAATAAACTCAGAAACTTTACAACTCTAAGAGAAATTTTTTTTTAAGCTAAATTCACTCAAGATTCTGGGTCTAAAGATTCTAATCCCATATTCTTTCTACTCCCTCCATCGAGTTTGATGTAGAGTCATGAGCACACCAGATGAAGTATATGTTAAATACCGCTTTGCAAATTAAAAGAACAATCAAAATAACAAGGGCTATTGCATTTAGCCAAGATAGAACAATGCTTCCACTTTGTTTATTGTTCTTTGTTATTATTTATTGTTTTCAATATTAAATGCTGATTAGAGGTCAAAAGACAAACTTATCTTAAAATGATTTAAGCATACTTCTAGTCAATCATAACTCAAGTATAAAAAATCCAAGACAGCATAATATAATCAAAATAGACAGAAACACCATGGTTTGAGTCCTGTTTTTTCACTTATTAGCTGAATGATCTTGAGCAACTTCAGTATTTTGAACCAGTTTCCCCATTTCTTACATGGGGAAAATAATAACAATATCTACTTCACAGAGTTGTTGGAAAGTAAGGAACAAAATGGATCTGAAACCAGTTTTGTAAAACTGGTTAAGAAATAGATGCAATCATTGGGTTACCATCAAATAATGTTTGCCTGAGAGACAAGCTATTCAACATATAGTATAATAAAGCTTCATATATATATATGTAAAGCATATCTTAATTTAAATAGTTTTAATTAAATAAACATTCATCTAAGTAAATGGTGTAACTATCGATGTCCACTCTTTTAACACTTGGAGTTAAGAATAATTAATATATTTTATAACCAAGAGTGATGACATTTTTAGTTTTAAAATATATTTTTCTCATACTTTTAAAAATCTTGCATTTAGTATGTTCAATTCACAAAGCAAATATGTGCTTCCAATTAAACCCTATGAACAGACCTTAGTAGAAGGTAAGATATTTATTAAATTTCTACCTCAACTAAATCTTCCTTTTTCTTATTTGATGCAAACACAATAACAGTGTAATATATTCTTTCTCAGTGGTGAATAATAAGTTACCATTTTACTTTCTCTATATTCATTGCCTAAATAAGTCTTTAGATAGAACCAAATATAGTTACAAAATCAAACACAACAATCAAAGGTAAAATACTTGCAACAAACCATACCTAGTCATAAGAACCGCATTATCGTGGTGGGCAATCCCATTTTCTGGAATGATGTTTCCATCAGTTTGGTGGGAGAGAATGGATTTCTGCCATTTACAGAAGCTATTGAGGGACTTGTCTGCATGGTGGTTTATCTCCAAGTTTGGCTGCAATACAACATGCATACCAGAAATGTTCCAAACAAATTACTAAGGTCAATTGTTAAAACTTTTGAAGACTAAAGTGGGGCTATAATTAGAAGCAGTGGTTTCTAGGAATACTCTCTTGCCAATTTTTATCTCTGTAATATCTGACCTAGAGCTAATTTAGTGTACTATTAAACAAACATTCTTTCTAGTTCTAGCTTTAAGATAATGTGAATATGTGTGATTATCAGCATATAAAATCAACCAAAACCACTATTAGAAGGTCTGTTGTGCAAATGTTTATTTTTATACTGAAACACACAGCTAATATACATATATAGCTCTAACATGACATAAGAGGTATATTCTTGGAAACTTTAAGTATGCTAAATGTGCCCTAGCTGGTTTGGCTCAGTGGATAGAGCGTCGGGCTGGGGACCAAAAGGTCCCAGGTTCGATTCCGGTCAAGGGCACATGCACAGGTTGTGGGCTCAATCCCCAGCGGGGGACGTGCAGGAGGCAGCCGATCCATGATTCTCTCTCATCATGGATGTTTCTATCTCTCTCTCCCTCTTCCTTCCTCTCTGAAATCAATAAAAATATATTTTTTAAAAAATTTGCTAAATGCTTAGTGCTGAAAATCATATTCAACTAGAACTTCCTAAGAGGAGCAATAATACAATATATTATTTTATAATACATAATTCTATAGCCTGTCAAGATTTTAGATTTATAAACTAACTCATTCTTACCTGATCATCCGTGAGAACAATTAAGCGGACCACTATAATATTCACAACGTTTCCTATGCTGGAATCACGGTAAAGTTTGGCAACCTGACCTCCAGAAAATAAGAAAAGACACAAAGTCAGACAAAAATCATAGGGTGATTAATATTTTTATAGAGTGGCAAAATAATTTTTCATGAATTTAGCTACTATGTATAAAAAAAGTTTTCTTTCATCCCATGTCACTTAGAGCAATACCCTCCAGATGCCTCGGTAAAAGGTCCAAGAAATATTTTCTCCTAAAGATGAATGACAACATAGTGATTAAGAGGATGAGCTGATGTGTCAAGTTAAAGAAAACCTCTTAAACAAGATTTAATATGACCTAATTAATTAAAAAGTCATATTATCTGAAAATAATAAGATCACCTTTAAATGCATTTTCTATGGAACTGAAACATTAGTAGATCACGTCTTTTTCATTTTAGAGGAATAAATTCTTAAAATCATTATTTCCCAATAAAAATCTATGACCTTAGTAAAAAAAAAAAAAAACACAACAAAACTATTAAATTAAAATATTATGAAGAGGGATCAAACTTACAATATTCATTACACTCAAAATGTAATGTTCAATGTCTTTGCGGCCATGATAGGACACCATCATTTTGTCTGCCACGACTAATGTCTCCACAAAGCGCTCAATGCTTGCCGATCTCTTCTGTCTGTGTGTGCCATTAATTGGTGGTGCAGAAGGAAGGGGAGATGTGTCATTCAGCCACCAAGGGTTGCCACCTATGAGGTCTACAACAGAAACAATTAACTAGTTCAGATAGGCTCATTAATTACATTTATTTATTTATAGGTCTTTTCTTTAGACATGCTTCTCATAAATTCTCTAACGTATTAAGATTTTTCAAAGTGAGGGGAGGGGATGAGGAAATTCAGTAGTGAGAAAATTAAATTCTTTAAAGTTTTCAAAATAATTATATAAAAAAATCAAACGTTCAATTGCTTATGAAAACAAAATAAATCTAATGAATTACTTAATAAAAATATTTTATTAATATTCAACTGCTCGTAAGAACAAAATAAACCAAATGAACTACTTAATAAAAAGAATTTTCAAATAATCATTTCACATTATTCCAGTAAGTGATTACATCATAATACTTTTAAATTTAGAATAGGTATTTTAAAAAATCATTTAAGGTTGTTTAAAAAGCAACTAGAGCACTAATTTTCTAAACAGCCTAAGACAGTTCTGATGAAGAACATTAATGTTGCAAAAGTCTATTCCTAAGATGAGCATTTATTTTTAAAGATGCTTTTATTAAACTATCTTAATTAGAGCAATTCTAGTACACTAGCTATCTCAATTCTAAAAAGCTGTGAATAAATTTTTCACTTAATTTTGCAGTCTACAACTATTTATACTGACAGAGTACCCAGAGTATTCCTTTTCCAAAACCTAGAGGTAGAGGGCATTAGAATGATTCCAGCATGACTCACTTTAAACTACATCTCAGTGTGGACTGTGGTTGACCCATGGTTTTCTAGACGTTTGGTTCTTCAGCGCACAGGAAATCTGTTAGTGCTATGGCATTTGTAAATACTTTCCTCATTTATATTCATTTTCACTTAATAAACTTGAGCAGGTACAGGTCCTCTGCATATCTCACTTATATTTCCTTATATACAGAAAATCTTTTGACCCTCCACTTATTGAAAAATTTAGATTAATTTATATACTTGACAGAAAGTGGTACTTTATCTTTCTAATTTCTTTAACCTTTCCTTTTAAATATGACTTTGGGAGAAGTTATAAATTTTAAGAAATAAGATGAATATGACCATGAGAAGAATCAGTCAAATATCTTTGAAACTCAGTAAGTTAGTGTCTTGAACTAAGCTGTTGAAATAGTATCACAATTAAGATCAGTAGTTCTTAACCAGACATTTCCCAAACTTAGTGAATACGAAACACTTTTTTCCCAATAACATCTAATGACATTCTCACAGAACTTAGAGGACTGCTACCATATTCCCATTATTGGGAAGCCAGTGAAGTGTCTGAAGGTGTGTAGTACAGCCAGATCTAGGTGACAAAAAGACAAAGTTGGAGACAGAAAGACCAGTTAGAAGCAATTACAGTGTACTAGGCAAGAAACAATGAGGGTGTGAACTAAATCAGCTGGTGCTAGGGGTGGTAGAAATGGCTATTGAATGGAACAGATGAAAAGCAAGGACCATTTATGAAATAGTCTCAGTAATGTAGGGGGAGAGATTGTAGAAGAAAGTCTTCCCCAAAAAGGGCAGAATTTCATGATGGCAATTTGACTCATGCCTAAACCATCTAAAATAATAAAAGCATAATATGCTAATTGGACCAGACATCCTTCCAGACGACCTTCCGGACGAAGCCGGGACTGTGAGGGAAGACCGGGTCCTGGGTGCCAGAGGGAAGCCGGTGCAGGCAGCCAGGGAAGGAAGGCCTACTCTTGCACAAATTTCGTGCATCGGGCCTCTAGTTAAAAAATAATGATCTGCCTGAGTAAGACCACTTAATGAGATAGGCACTTCAAAAGGGGATGATTCGCACTGGCCAGTTTGGGTCAGTGAATAGAGCATCGGCCTGCAGACTCAATGATCCTGAGTTCGATTCTAATCAAGGGCACTTACCTCGGTTGCAGGCTTGATCCCTGGCCATGGTCAGGGCATGTGCAGGAGGCAACCAATCAATGTGTCTCTCACATTGATGTTTCTCTCTCTGTCTCTCCCCCTCCCTTCCACTCTCTCTAAAAATCAATGGAAAAATATCCTTGGTTTAGGATTAACAACAAAAGAGGATAATTTGACTATTCAAAAATTATAATAAACAACTAAATATTTTAATCCTCATTTTTACAAAATTATAGATAGTTGTACTTATAGCCTAACTTTCTTAAACATAAGATAAAATAAACTACGTCCATAATGTTTAGATTCCTTACTCAATACAAAGACCAATTAAACATATTTTTAAATTATTTACTATGAAATTTTGTTTCATGCCCTAAGTGGATTCACTTGAAGTGGCCTTTTTCTAGTACTAATTATTCTGACCAACAAAGGACCTCCCATAATTAAAAGCCTCAGGGATTACTCAAGAAGAGAGAATGCAGAATAAGAACAGTCAGTTGAGGAAAGAACTTTAAAGAACACTTATACTTGAAGCAGAAAATAAGGAGCCCATGAAGGACACAAAAGAAACAAAAGGGTGATGCATTCACTAATTGCAAGGCAATCCACTCTGTTTTTTACAAATCTACGTATTGAACCCACCCCATTTTTTATTAAAAGTACTTGTTGGAGAATTCTTCTCTGCATTAAGCTGAAATCTGCCTTTGAAATACGATGCCCCTAGTTTCAGCTACTGTAACTACACAGAAAAACAAATCTAGTCATATATATATGTGTGTGTGTGTGTGTGTGTGTGTGTGTGTGTGTGTGTGTGTGTGTGTTTTCTTTTAATGCTAGAAACAGTTACCCCAATAATGATAGCTACAATTTAACTGAGTAACTAATGTGTGATAAAAGGAGTACTCGGAGAGAGAGGTTGGGTAATTTGTCCAAAGCTACACCAAAGCCCATGTTCTTTCTACTATGCTATGCCATGTCCTCTATTTCTCTAAGTTTTCTAATCTTTAGACTGAACAGCCTTCCAATCCCCTAACTCTAGTCTTGCTCTTCTTTAATTCAGTCTCTAGATGGCTGCCAGAGTAATCTTTATGAAATCCAGATCTGACCGTGTGATTCCTACTGCATAAAACCTTTCAATGGTTTTCCAGCACACTTAGGATAAACAAACTCCCTAACGTGGTTTATAAGGCCTTTGTGATTTGATTTGGCCTCTTCTAATTTCTCGAGTTTCATCACTCACTACCACACCCCCAACTACTAAGAATCTCACCCCTATTTTTCCAACCCATATTCTAATATCCAGTTATATGAACTGTCAATTCCTGGAACATGACATTCTCTCTTCAGATTCAGAACCTTTGTAAATGCTGTTTCCTCTATATGGAATGCTACCAACTGCTCCCTCTACCTTTGCCAGCTACCCTGTCTTACTCCTTGGGCCTCAGTTTAGAAGTCACTTCTTCCATGAAGCCTTCTTTGGCCACTGAAGTTTAGGTGTGTTGCTCCTTCTATATATGTTTACATCCTCGAATACTACCTTAAAACTCTCCAAGTCTTATTCAAGTGTCTAGATTCCTGTCGCTAGCATAAAAATATCAAGCTAAGCAAACAGCACCGAGTGCTCTGGAACACCTGTGTATGAGAACTATAACTACTACTTGGATGAAATAAGGTGGGCTTCTTTCCCCTTCAAAGAAAAACTAATAAAATTTTACACAGATTTCTATTTCAAAGAGATTCCAAGATTGACTTAACACTACTGATAGGTGACATTTTTAAAGAAGACTCTGGACATTATCATTTTAATTACTCAAATTATTATTTGCTTATTATTATTAACCTTGCCAGAAGAAACAGAATGGCAACACAATACAGTACGTCGCTCACTCACCAGAAACCCCACAATGGGAGTGATCATACATATGCCGTTGCTGAAGGGTAGACTTTTTGTAAATTACATGGGGATGGCCATTTTCATAACTAAACTGTTTGGAATCCTCTGTGGTATTCTTTAATGGTTCAATAAAATATTCTTCATCTTCTGTTGCAATAACACCATGCTAACAGAGAAAAAAACAAAGAATTTGCCAAGAAGAAGCATTTGAATATCATCAGTACCAAAAGTTAAAAATAAACGGATACCTCGCCAAAAAGGTTAAAACACATGTTAATAAAAATTAAATAAATTGTCCATACTCAGCAAAACATTATATAAATTTTCCTTTCCTTTAAAAAGGATGTTTAAGTACCTCTACATGTTATGCCCTGTACAAAGCATGACACATACATTATTTCCTCCAATCCTCCTAACAACTCTATGAGGTCGCAGAGATCTCTATGTGCTCACGAAGACTTATTTCCTTTCCAAATTTTGCACACTTAACTACCTCCTCTGTGTTTAGGTATAACTTTGTAAATCAGCTTGGCCAATAGAAAATGGGCAGTGTTGTACCTGACCTACAGGCCAAGCCCCTGAAAACCTCCCCAGCAGAATTCCCCACTCTCTGTCCAGAAAAAAAAAAAAAAAAGACCTAGGGAAGGTGGAAACCAAAAGAGAAAGAACCTGGGTCTCTGAAGGACCTCATGGAAAGCTGTTGAACATAGACGCTGATACAAGGGAGAAATAAACTTTAATTGTGATAACTGACATTTTAAGGTTTATGTTTCACCAATTAGTATGTCCTTAATTAATATACCTGCCATATATCACTGTTTTGCCAATGAAGTAACAGGCTCAAAGGTTAAGAACTTGCTCAATATTATACAGAGGCAAGTGAAGGAGCTGGAAGACACACAAAACTCTGCTCTTATTCACAGTATTAATTGCCTTACACCTAGTTATTGAGCCAAGTCCTACTCAGCTCAGTCACTTCTCTTTAAAACTTTCTCTAGCTCAACTGGAGTAGCTTCCCCCACCCCCCAAGTTCCAACAGAGCTTATTATTTATTTTTAATTAATTTATTTATAATTAATTCCACACTGCTTTGCTACATCTCAACTCCTGGAGCTGTGTTTCAATGTATTATAGCTTTTCAACTGCATGTGTTATCTTCCCAAGTATACTAGATGCTTTCTTAAGGCAAAGGGTTCTATCTGTAACTGTTACAGCCACAGAAAGTGTCCCACATGTATTACACTAAATAAAAAATTGCTAACTAAAAGAAATGAGATAGTAAAAGTTATCTGCATCAGAAATAAGACGTTCCATCCCTGTCTAATAGTATTTTCCTAAGTGTGGCACATGAGAGGACTGCTCTTAATCCGACTAATTTACCCTGTAACACTGGATAAAACACAAACTCCCCGGGTATTTCCTCAGCTGGAAAATGAAAGGGTTGGTGTAAATTAGTGGTTTTAAAACAGCACTCTGGGGAGCCCTAAGGGTTCCATGGAAGTGCCCTCAGGGGACTGCCCCAGACAACAAAGAGAGACCTACACAGCTTGGAGTCCCCGGTTTAGGAATCAGCTGTGCTTTTATTCATCTATATATGAAGTTTCCACATAACATTTCACTTGAGAAAAGGGTTTTGCTTCTTTAAAAAGAAGGGGGAGAAGCTGAAAGCCTCTGGTCCTGATAATCTCTGAAGCCCCTTTGAATCTAAGCCTCTATGATTCTGTTTAAGGAAATTCATGTTGCGTATAATATGCTTGGAAAGAAAGATAAGGCATAGTCAGAACTGCTCTAACTTAGAGATGAAGTTGGCAGCCACCTGTACGAAGTGAGCTAAGGAATGTAAAAAAAAACAAAAACACCAAAACAAAACGGCCCTTAGTCACTTCATATTATTTTCACCATTGTCTGCTTTACTTTAAAAATATTAGTCTTTAAATTAAATGCAAATACTGACAGGAATAGCATAATCTGCCATTAACAAACGCTAATACCTGAGCATGAATTACTTTACCAGGAAGGTTAGCAGTGTGACAGTAAACTGAACACGGTTCCTGCGGGAAGGAGGGGATGTATGAGAAGACTTGGTAAGAGGACAGGGTAGAAAGTGGGGTCTAGAGTACTAAAGTCATCCTAGACCAGCTGTGGGCAAACTACGGCCCGCGGGCCGGATCCGGCCCGTTTGAAATGAATAAAACTAAAAAAAAAAAAGACCGTACCCTTTTATGTAATGATGTTTACTTTGAATTTATATTAGTTCACACAAACACTCCATCCATGCTTTTGTTCCGGCCCTCCGGTCCAGTTTAAGAACCCGTTGTGGCCCTCGAGTCAAAAAGTTTGCCCACCCCTGTCCTAGACTGTGGGCAAGTCACTCAAGCCAAGAATCTCAGGTTGCTGGGAAAATAGAGTCACAAGCCTTGTAAGCAGATACAATCTCTAATTTCAAGAATGGAAAGACTCCAGAAGAAAATCCAGAGATTTTGTGTGTTAAGTACCCTGTAAGATGTTCACACATATCATCTCATTTCATCATTGTTATTTTTTTCATTTCATCTTAATAGCTCTTTGAAGTAAGTATACTCTCAGTTCCTCTATGCAGATGACAAGCGGAGACTGAGCAAAGTTAAGAAACAAACTCACTTGATAGACTTTGGAGCTGGACTCTTAGCCACTGTACTATAATTCCCTTATCCTCTGAGGGTGGTTTGTGACTTTATTCATTCACCAACTATGTTTGAATGCCTACGATAGGGCAGGTACTGTTCTAGATGGTGTGGATACAATAATGAACAAAACAAAGTTCCAACTCTATCATGGAGCTTACATTCTGGTGGGAGGAGCTAGAGAAAAAGGAATTCATTCATTAGATAAATAAATGATCAATCAGGTAATGATAAATGTTAACACGAAAAAATAAAGCAGTGTAAGAGAATAGAAAGTAATTAGAAGTGAGGGAATTACACAAACTATTTAGGATGGTCAGGGTCATCCTCTCCAATAAGGTGACATTGGAACAGAAATGTGAGTAAAGTGATCAGGGTTGTAGTTTAGTCAAATAAATTCCATGAAGGGAATTGAAGGTGGGTTTGGAGGGAAGTGAAGACATGAATTGGGTGGACAATGAAAAGGATTAGTGGGTCATGTTGGGCATAAAAGGGCTGCCTCTTAGAGTTGAGATACTAGAGACAGTACTGGAAAGATAGAAGAATGGAACCCTTGAAATTGAGACTATGGCAAGTTGCAGATTAAATTCAACTTTGCTACTCTGGGCCTATAACCTTGCAGCTTCATTTAGCCAGAGGAAAGTACACCAAGATGCCAGCTGGTCTCACTTGAATTTCATCATCATAATCTCAACTGTGTCCTTAACGCTTCATGGCAATTATACTATGTTTCTCTGATTTATTCAGTATGCTGCTCTTCTGGGTAAATATTTCATACTTTCTCCTCTCTTCTTAATACCCTAACACCTCATTTTTCCATCTCCTGTTCCAATAAACAGCATGGCACAACCTCCTGCAAAGTCCTACAACAACAAACACCACACCTACTTGAATCTCATCCATATAATCTATTTTATATCCTGTTATTATGGATGAGCTGCATGTTCTCCTAGCTACGAACAATTATTGTATTTATGCAGATGAGTCCATCCCTTCTGTACCTATCAAGAAGATCACTCCAGAAACTTCCCTTCTCTCTACAATCATTCCTATCAAACAAAACAAAACAAAACCTCTCACCCCGACTTGTGCCTGCAGCAACTGATCATTGCTTGCTTTTCTAAAATCATTATCTGTATAGTCCTTTCTCCCATTCCTTCTTAAACCTTTGCCAACAGGTTTTTGTCTCTTTTCCAAACCCCACCATGACTTCACCTTAACTGCTTTAGTCAAAGTCATCAACAACCTCCTCATTGATAAATTCAGTGGTTAGTTTTCAGTCCTACTCTTACTTTGACATTTTTCTCTTGAAATACTTTCTTACTTGGCTTCTAGAATATTTGCCTGGTTTTCCTTCAATTTCTTACTCCACTGTTCTTTGCTGGTCTCCTCCTTATCTTTCTGACCTCCTTTACCCATTGGAGTACCCAAAGATTCAGCCCTTAAACCTCTTCTTTATTCTATCTATTCTCCCACCTAAGCAATTCCATGTAATCTCCTGTCTCTGTCATCTATATATTGATGACTCCCAAATTTGTAAGTTCATAATTCACATCTCTCTTCTGCATATCCAATATGCTATATAACTTCTCAAATTTAACATGTTCAACTGAACTTCTGATATGTACCAACCCCCAAACTATTCTTTCTATAACTTTTCCATCTCAATTAATGCCTGAGTCTTTCTCATGCCATTTGATGACTGCTATATTTTTCCAGTTGTTCAGGCCTCAAGCTTGGAGTTATCATTAATTTTACCCTAGTTGTGTCCTCTAAAATCTAACATCTGGCCTCCAGTTCCCTTTCTAACTTCACCTTCCATTATTCTTCCTCTCTTTCACTTAGCTCTGGCCACGGTATTCTTGCTTTTTCTCAACACTCTAAGATCAGACCTCTGTACTTAAAGATTTCCACCTGGAAAAATTATCCCTAAGATGTCAGCATTCCCTTCCTCATTTCCCTGAAAGTTTTTAAAAATATATTTTTATTGATTTCAGAGAGGAAGGGAGAGGGAGAGAGAGATAGAAACATCAATGATGAGAGGGAATCATTGATTGGCTGCCTCCTACACATCCCCCACTGGGGATCGAGCCTGCAACCCTGGCATGTGCCCTGACCGGGAATTGAACCTTCTGGTTCATAGGTTGATGCTCAACCACTGAGCCACACTGGCCAGACTCCCTTAAAGTGTTTACTCAATATTTTTCCACCTCAGAACTTATCATTACACATCACACTATGATTTTTATTTATTTATCTTATTGTGTATCTCCTCCACTAGAATGCAAGCTAAATGATGATAGGGACTTTTGTTTTGTTCACTGTTGTACTCATAGCACCTAGAGCAGTGCCTATAAAATGACAGGTATTTATAAGTATTTCATGAATAGATAAATGAGTAATGGAAAAAGTAGAAAGGCAACTGTGGCTATAACAAAATGAATAGAAAGTCTACTGGGGTCACTGGTCTTTACTAACTAGCTATATAGTCTTCAGTATCTTC